CCTCAGGTGATTGATGTGCAAGCAGGTTAGGGGAACAGTGATCTCATTGGTCCCTCTCAATGTTTATTTGTTTAATTTTTATGGTGCAGGGGATGAAGTCCAGGGCCTCACACATGCCTGACAGTGCCTGGCAATGCCACCTCTCCCCTCTCCTCTTTACGTACCCCCTCCATCTACGCAGGATGAGAAGCTAAGCCTGAATGTTGACTTCTAGCCCAGCTTCCCTACTCTCTCCATGGCTGACCCCCAAGTCTGGAAGGCATACCTTTCAAGAGTCAGGTACAGCTTGGAGATACTAGAAGCATCAGATTAATGACTGGCTCAGCAACTTTGGCTTTAACCAGGGTCTTCTGAGCAGAAAAAGGAAAGCTGTTTCTATGATGTTCATTGGATGTCAACCATTGATCACACTCCTACAAATGGGTCAGATCTGTCATGTAGAAATCAAATCTCTCTTAGCTCTGTTTTTATTTTTGCCCACTGTGCTGGATAGCTTTAGTGTCAACTTGACACACCTGGGTTGAGGGAGCCTCCGTTGGGGAATTGCCTCTATTGGACTGGCCTGTGGCCATGTCTGAGGGGCATCTTCTTGATGAGTGATGTGGGAGGGCCCAGCCCACTGTGGGTGGTGCCACCCCTGGGCAGGTGGGCCTGTGTTGCATAAGAAAGCAGGCTGAGCAGGGGCCAAGGGAACAAGTACCAGTAAGCAGCGTTCCTTCATGGCCTGTGCTCTAGCTCCTGCCTCCAGGTTCCTGCCCAGAGTTCCTACCTTGGGCTCCCTGATGAACTGCGACCTGGGAGATGTAAGCTGAATAAACCCTTTCCTCCCCAAGTTGGTAGTGGTCAGAGTATTTTGTCACAGCAATGAAGAACAAACTAGGATACCCACTTTACCTATTGGGGTAGAGCACGCCATAATATCCTTTTGAGTAAAGCAGGTTGGAGAAGGGTGTGGCTTTGCCTTGAACTCTTAGAGACTTCAAGAAAGACCTGTGCTTTTGTTGAGTCTGGGCACCTAGCATCCCTCTCTCTGAATCTGCTTTGGGATTTTATAGATTCAGGCCAAGCCAAGCCTCCTTTCCTCCACATGGGCTGTCATCTCACCATCCCTTTGATCTCTGTAGCCACCTGCAGTCGTCTGACACACGTGTCCCATGTTTGAATGCAAATGCTGTAACTCAGCTCACCTTACACTCCAGGGCTTCTGACAGGGAAACTTGGCCCTCATGAATCCCACTGAGAGTCAGAGAAAGAGACACCCTCTTTCCAAAACCTCAGAACAGCAGGATGACTGGCCATGTCTCATGAGATGGATGCCCAGGCCTTCATTCTGCAAAGGTTTGCCAGGTGCCTGAGAGATGCAGGTTCTGGGATGCTCACTGTAAATACAGTGTTCAGTAAAGCCAGCAAATCCTTGCCCTCCTGGAGTTTGTGTGTTCTAATGAGGAAGACTAAGAGAAGGCAATCAGACAATCATATCCATGATTGTGAAACGACATATCCAAATTGTGAAATGTGACACGGATAATTCCAGGCATACAAAGGGGACCCTAACCCAGACAACAGACATAATCTTTCAGCTGAGAGCTGTGAAGGGAGGACTGTGCCAGCAGCGGGAATAGCACATGCAAGGGCCCTGTGGCTGGGAATTGTGTGACTTCTCTTAGAAAACCAAGAGGCCAGTGTAACTAGAGGTAGAAGCTAAGGGGGAAGATGGTACTTTGAAAGCTGTGAATAAACTGCCTAGACTCACTGGTGTGTCCCAACTTTTGGCATCATGACAAGTTGGCATCTACAAAGTTCATACTTGAGAACTGTGCAATTGAATGGGAGAAGAAACCCAGCAACACAAAATATCTCATATTTTAAGTGAGTTTATGATTTTTTTTGGATCACATTCATAAGTATCCTGTGGTACATGTGACCTGTGGGCCATGTGAACATGTTTGGGAGGGTTCAGTTTGGCTCATGAGTAAGTGAAGCAAGCCAGGCTAGAGAAAAAAGGAAGCATTGGGGACAGTGGCAAATTGGATAAAACATGCCCCGTGTGGTCTGGGGATGTAGCTTAGTTGGTAGAATAAATGCCTAGCAAATATAAAGCCCTGGGTTCACTCCCCAGCACTGCATAAACTGGATATGGAGGTGCATGCCTGTAATCCTAGCATGGAGAGAGAGGCAGGAGGATCAAAAGTTCAAGGTCATTCTCAGCTACATAGCTAGTTTCAGTCCAGCCTGAGATACATAAGGTCCTGTCTCAAAACAAAACAAAATAGTAGGCCAGGGAATGGCTCAGTGGGTAAAGACACTTGCTGCCAAGCCTGAGGACCTGAGTTTGAGCCTTGAGACCCACATGATGGAAGGAGAGAGCCAACTTCCCCACATTGTCCTCTAGCCTTCACACGTGTCACACACAAATAAGAAATTTCTTGTTCCTCCAATGCCGTGGTTCTCAACCATGGCTTCATATTATAGCCAATTTGGAGACTACCTATCATCTATCTATCTATCTATCTATCTATCATCTATCTATCTATCATCTATCTATCATCTATCTATCATCTATCTATCATCTATCTATCTATCATCTATCTATCATCTATCTATCATCTATCATCTATCTATCTATCATCTATCTATCTATCTATCTATCTATCTATCATCTATCTATCATCTATCTAACAAGTCTGCCTTGTGTGAGGAGGCAGGTCTACTATAACCAGTTCTACACAGGTGCAAGCACACCTGTGTATCCCACACGATAGAACTTCTTGATTTTTCAAGTGAAAAAAAGTACAAAGTCCAACTCTTCCTTGAGAAGTCTGCACCCATGTCTTGGGCATGTACTACCTGTGTCCTAAGCATCTGTGTCTCCCTTGATGCCCATACTTAAATATATCTTAATACCATTTCTTAATAAAGTACAACCTTGCTTCATTTTAAAATGGGGAGCTGGGGAGATGGCTTGCTGGGTAAAGAACTTTCTACACAAGCATGAAGGCCTGAGTTTGGATCCTCAACACCCATACAAAAGCCAGGCATGGTGGTCCATGTTTGTAATCTCAGTGCTGGGAGGTAGAGATGGGAAAATCTCAGGGATTTGCTGGCCAGACAAGTGTAGCCAATCAGTGAGCTCCATGTTCAGTGAGAGACCCTGTCTCAAAGAATATGATGGAGAAGAAATTGAGGAAGACACTTGACATTGACCTCTAGCCTCCACAGGAATACACATGGGCATGGGCACACACACACACACACACACACACACACACACATGTGCGCCCCCACCCCTCACCACCCTCATCCTCAGTTGAGCAAACCCTCAGCCCAGGGCTTTCTTGGCTTGCAGCCCTTGCTCCCCACAGTGATTTTGGAAGCACAAAGGGCCTTTCTGGCTCTATTTTCTCTTGGGCCCCAGGCAAGCTGTAACTGTGGGGCTATTTCCCAATTTGCAGCGGGAAGTGTTTGCGGGGTCAAGTGTGGCAGCCGCTGGGGATATAGTATGGGGAGTAATTAGGGTTAAAAATGACTTTGAAGCTTCCCCAAGCCAAAGGCCTAAGCTCAGAAGGTAGATTTCAAAGGGTTTGCCGCCATTCCTATGCCTCAGCCCACCCCCCATGTCAGGAGCCTGGCCTAAGGGAGTGACAAACAGCTGGCTATGCTATGAGACATGATGCCAGCACAGCCATTGTCCCCACCAGCCTTTCTTCTTGCCCCATTTACTCAGTGAGCCTCTTCTGTGTCACAAATCATTGAAATATGTCCTTAGATAGCTTGCAGCCCAGCAAGGAAAATTGACAAGGATTCAGATCTCATACACGTGCAGTGTTACAGATGGGATCTGTGCGCAGGTTTAGGAAGCCTTCCTCTTTCCAGGTAAGGGATGCTTGAGCTGAAATTGATGACTGAACTTGAGTTAGCTGAGGTGGACTGTGGGAACTATTTCAGATGGAGGTAGTTTCCAAGCCCAGGGGCCAGAGCGAACAAGAGGCAACAGGCTTGGGGACAGCCACATTAGCCAGGGTTGAGAGTCCAAGGCTTTGTGGAGGATTGGCCATTGGGTGTATGGTAGGGGCCAAGTCACAGAGCCTTAGGAGATAAGGGTAAGGGTTTTAAGGGTTCTGTGTTTTACCTTGAAAGCAATAAAAAGTTTCTGAGTTTCAACTCAGAAGGAAATATTTGGATTTGATTGCAGTTCTTTAAACTTAGTGACTACTTCTTTCGTCTTTTGTTTGGGTCTTGGTTTCTTTTGTTTGTTTTTGGTTTTTTGTTTTGGTTTTTAAGGCAGGGTCTCATGTAGCCCAGGCTGGTCTCAAACTCACTATATAGGTGAGGCTGGTCTTGAACTTCTGATCCTCATGTTTCTACCTCCTGTAGGAAACATTAATTATCAGTCTTTTCTGCCAAATACTGTAAATCTTTGGTTTAGGACAAGGAATTCAAATCTTTTTAAAAATATTTATTTTTATTTTATGTGTATGAGTATGTTGCCTGCATGTTTGTAAAGGGCACCCTGTGTGTGCAATGCTTGCAGAGGCCAGAAGAGGGCGTTGGATCCCCTAGAACTGGAGTTAAGGATGGTTGTTAGCTGCCACGTAGGTGCTGCCTCACCGACTTGCTTTCGCTTTGTCGGTGTATTCTTTGCTCTGTGTTGGTGGAGTCCTTAGACCTCAGGTTTTATTTCTAACACTCCCAAGTGCTGGGATTACAGGTATATACCATCATGCCCAGCCATTTTCTTGGTTTTATTTCCTTGGAAGAGAAGCCTGGCTAATTCTGGTCCCGACGTCACACTTGCAAGTACACAGCACTAGCACTTGAAAAGCAGATTACTGGTGTAAGTCCATATTTGGGGTGAAAATAGTGGTGTAAAGAGGTCATCTGCCAAAGTCACCCAGTCAGGCAAGCGCAGAATGAGGGCTTAAACCAGTTATCTGGGTCCAAAGTCTAGGCTCTGTGCGTAACACAAATAAGGTCATAATAGCTGACAGCCAAGTACCTACCTCAGCCACGTGCCAGGGACGAAAAAATTTGGTCTATGAAGTTTTCCTTGTGGATACCAGAGGAGCAAAAGCATCCCATCTCTACAATCCACATGGGCTTTGAGTAGGGTGGGAGGAACTGAAGCTCTGCTCTGTGCGTGTTTGGCCTACTAATGGGGCAAGGAGGCCTGCAGCTCATTAGCCAGGTTCTTAGGAGGCCAGCCTGCAAGTCCTTTCTCTTGCAGAGAACACTGAGCAGTTTCCTGGAATGGATGGAGCACAAAAGAGCCTTTCAGGACCCCCTGCTGAATGAACTGTTCTGTTCCCGGCAAAGCTTTTATAGACTTTTTAAAGACATGGGAGAAAACAGAAGCGCAGAGCCTCCACAAAGTTCTGTTTCTCAGGGTGGACAGGCAGGAATGCTGCAAAGCCCCAGGCCAAGCCTGGGATGGGGCAGGCAGAAGGTGGAGGAGTCATGATGTAGCACCTGGGGTTAATGATCACCCTTGGCTTTATTAGCTAGAGAGCCTGAAAGAGGAGTGAGTGAGATTGGGTACGTAGCTCAGTGGTAAAACAGCTGCATAGAATGTGGGAGGCCCTGGGTTCAATCCAGAAAAAAAGAGTGGAATCATCAGGCATAAGACATGGTGGTCTAGATATATCAGAAGTGCGTATCCAGGAAGGACCAGTGAGAGAATGATGAAGGGCTTCCCCAGGGGAAGGCTGGTTCCTGCATGTGTAGGAAATCAGAATACAAATGTCATTTAGAACAAATGATAAGATACCGATCTGCACGCTTATTCTAATAGAAATGCAAATTAAAATGACAACCAGATAACATTTAAAAAATCTGGATAAGCAGCAATCCAAAAATGAGAGGCATGCTTTGTGGGAGGCAGCAAAGAAGTGGGTGTTCTCAGACACAGGCTCACCAAAACATGAAGGCACAGGGACTTCAAAGCAACTCCGCTTGTGGGAAATTACCCTGCACGTTTGTGTGCACATTCCATACAAGGAAGGGGGTGTCCTACATTACAATCTGACTTTTAAGAGATTAGATAAGGGCTAAATGTCCATGATAATGGGAATGGGGTTCAACTAACTAAGTTAATGCAATGGAATTCTAGACAGCCCTTAAAAATGGAAGATTACATCGTGTATCACATCATATGTCACCATACAGAAGGATCAGGAGGGTGTGACATCAATTGGAGAAAAACCAGGTACATACTGGTGTGGATCTAAATGGCAACATGGTGGGGGGTGTTGATGGGGAGTGGCCACCTGTACAGTCACTTTCTCACAGTCATCACAAATATCAGCTTAAAGGAGGAAATGATAATTTGGCTCATAGTTTTGGAATTCGATGGAAACCCTTCCATCATGGCAGGGCAACAGGGCTCCCCAGCACTGGTGGTTGTGTGGAACAAAGCTCCTCTCACTGTGGCTAGACCAGAAAGCTGAGAACCACACAGGAAGCAGAGCTGAGCTATAATCCTTATGGGTCTTCGAACACATGAGGCTGTGGTGGGGCATTTCACAGTCAAAGCATAACACAACCTAACACCTATGTTTGTTTATGAACAGAATTCATCTGTCAGGAGAAGCAGAACCAGGCATGAGTTTTTACCTTGAGAAGACTGGGAAGCTGAGGCTTGGTACTTTTTAGGCACAGAGATGATGATGATGATGATGATGATGATGATGATGATTGATAGGTAGAGAGCGGGCGGGAGCGAGCGGATGGATGGAGGAAGGCACCGAGGCACAGATGGAATTCTCAGCGGGATACAGATTTATTTCGCACAGGCACCTTTCCCTTGGGGAAGGGAAAGATGTCAGGGAAAGATGTCGGGGAAAGATGTCCACCCAGGGGTTGTGAGCTGGGACTTTATATATGGGGGCTTTAGGGTGTGGAAGGGGGGAATGTTTGGGGGAGAAATCAGGGAGGGGGAAGCAGGAAAAGCAGGTAGGATTAGGGTCTGGAAGTGTTTACTTTTTCTCTCTTAAGATAAGAGAAAAGCTTGTTGTGATAAACAGCTTCTAAAATCTCTGGTTAACAGGTAGAATCTGCTTATCTTTGGAGATCAGAGGAGAGGCAGGCTGCTTCTCAGCAGAGTTTGTTTCCCTTGACTCCAAAGGTCAAGGTGAGGTCCCTGTTGGGGAGGAGGGAAACTGCTGCTGTTCGGAACCCTAACAATGATGGCGATGATGATGAGGAGGAGCAGGAGGAGGAAGGGGAAGACAATGGCCATGACTGGTGCTGGTGATGGAACCCAGAGCTTCTTATAGGCTAAGCAAATGCTTAGCCACAGAGCTACACCCCCAGTGCTGGCATTTGGATTATTTTACTATATGCTTATATTATTAATATTTTTTGAAGCAAAAAGGGGAGGAGGAAGAAAATAACAGAAGGAAACAAGAAGAAAAGTTAATGATAATTTCACCATCAGAAATAAACAGTAATAAGATTTTGGATTATTGTTTTTGAATAATTTTTAATTTCAAACTTCTACCTTTTTTTTTTGAGACAGAGTCTCACTGTGTGGGGAACTAGATAGGCATTGAACTCTTAGTCTTCCTGCCTCAGCTTTCCAAGTGCTGGGATTACAGGTGTGCATCACCACACCCAGGATAATTTCAAGATGAAGAAAAATGGCAACAATAAGAGAAAGAGCCTGAGCCCAGTGTGTGTCCCCTCTGCTTATGTGTCCACTCTCCCCTCTTGCTCCTGATGTGTAATTTCTCTTATCTGAAATATGTGGAGCCAGAAGTATCTCAGATTTGGGATTTCGAAATATTTGCATGTGTGTAATGATATATCTTGGATGGAACCCAGGTCTAAACATACATTTCATTTATGTTCTGTGTGCATTTTACACACACGACCTGTGTGCCTATGTATTGACTATGATGCATCACATGGAGATGGGTGTGAATTTTCTATTTGTGGCATCATAATAGTGCTTTGAAAAGTTTGATTTGAGGGACTAGAGAGATGGCTCAGTAGTTAAGAGTACTGGCTGTTCTTGCAGAGGACTCAGATTTGATTCCCAGCACCCACTTGGAGGTGAACAACCATCTGTTACTCCAGTTCCAAAAGATCCTGATGCCCTCTTCTGGCCTCTGTGGGCATTGCATACACATGGTGCACTTACATACATGCAAAGAAAACACTCTTTACACATAAAATAAAAATGAATAAAATTTAAAAGCCTTTTTTAGTTTTATTTTGGAGCATTTTAGAGTTCAGATTTTCAGATTAGGGATGCTCAACCTATACATATATGTATATACATATATGTACATAGATATATATGTAGATATATCTCTACATGTGCATGTAAAAATGAATCTTATTTTTCTTCTGAACTATTTGAGAATGAGCTGCCTCTTTACTACTCAGTACTTCCTGTGTTTTTCCTGGAAACAAGGATATTAACGTACACAACTACAAAACAACAATTCTAGGATATTTAACATTTAAACCTCTGCCTTAGTTGCACCATCTGTAAATGGACTCTTCTTTGCAGGGCTGGTAAGGGGTTTTGTATCTTCTCTTTAATAATGCTGATTTTTTTCCCTCTGTGTGTTTGCGTGTGTGTGTGTGTGTGTGTGTGTGTGTGTATGTGTGTATGTGTGTGTGTTTTCCTTTCTTGTGACAGGGTCTCACTATAAAGTGCAGGCTGCTTTTTAATTTTTTTAACTGATTATTTTATATATGAGTATTTTGTATATAAATGCACCTGTGTTGTGTAGTACACACAGAGGCTAGAAGAGGGTGTGAGATCCCCTCAAACTCAAGTTAAGGATGGTTGTGAACCACCACGTGGGTGCTGGGAACAGAACCCAGGTCTTCTGCAAGAGCAGTCAGTCACCGCTGAGCTATTTAGAATAATTTAAAACTCCTATAACAATTAAAAAAAAAAACAAAACCCAAAAAACAAAAACCTTTGTTTTGGAGCTGGAGAGATGACTCAGTGGCTAGGAGCACTGGCTACTCTTGCAGACAATCTGGATTCATTTCCCAGCACCCACATGGTGGCTCACAACCATCTGTAACTCTTGTTCTGGGGATCCAACACCCTCTTCTGGCCTCTGTGGGCATTACACACATGTGATGCACTTACACATGCAGGCAAAACACACACAAAAATAAATAATAAATAAATAATTTTAAAGCTTTGTTTTCTGTGGAGAATCTAAAATCCCATTTGGGAAGCCCAGGCTAAACACCTGCCACTCTGGTAAGCAGAGGGTGCTGGAGTCTCTTTCCTTTTTGAGCCGTGTCCTTGGGAAACTTCTTTTTCTTTCTCTGGGCCTCAGTTTCCCCACCTCCTAGTTCCTTGTAGCTCTTATACATCAAGTCAGTGAAATGCTGACCCAAGCCCAAGTTACAATCCTGTCCCTGCCCTTTGCTGTCCTGTGCCCTCAGGTTACCTACCCCACTTCTGCCTTAGTTGCACCGTCTATAAATGGAGTCTTCTTTGCAGGGCTAGTAAGGGGTTTTGTATCTTCTCTAAGAAGTGTACTCTGGCTGCCATATTGTACATGCCACCTGATCCCTACCCCCAGCAACTCTTATTTTTTAAAACAGGGTCTTGCTATGTAGCCCAGGATTGTTTCAAATTCCCTATGTATCTCGGACTGTAGCAACCCTCCTGTCTCCTGAGTGCTGGGATTACAGTGCCACCATATTGGGCTTTCCTAGTAACTTCTGAGGCCCCTAAGGACCTGTGTGCCTTTCTCCATACCATTTATCACCTTCCAAAAAACTATTGATTAATTCATTGATTGTTACCTCTATTTCTTCCTGCCCGCCCTCAGAATGTAAATTGTTGTAAAAACAATAGCAAAGATATTCATCACTTTTATACATGATGTGGCCCAAGCACCCAGGTGATGCTCAATACCTCTTCCTTTCTCCTATCTTTCCTCCCTCCCTCCCTCCCTCCCTTCCTCCCTCCCTCCTTCCCTTCTTTCCCTTCCTTCCCTTCATTATTTATTTACTTACTTTATTATTTATTTATTTATTATTTATTTTGCAGCAGGGTTTATGTGGCTACCTGGCTGCCTTAGAACTCACAATATAGA